CAATCAACGACTGCTTTGTCAGCACCAGTGTCGTAGACGACGCCTATCACAAACGAGTTAATAGCATGACCTGAAGTTTCACCTTATGCATTCAGTGAAGGGGACCCGAACTGTCTGACCTTACCTGGAGTACGCGTACGTTTGCCAGTGTTTGTCTCGTTATATAGAAATACACTACAAAACAGACTTTACGTAAAACTATGGTCGATATTCTGAGGTTGTGATTGACTATTCGGACATGTAGTCACTGACTTCAATGCGTCGTAGCTTTATTTCCACTGGTTCTAGACAGACTTAGAAACACTTGCACAGGTATGCAATATTTCCTGTTGTCGTTAAAGTCTGGATAATCATTGTTCATGTTTATTTCCTGCATGTCATTACGTCACTGATTAGCTACAAGCGTTCAACAAAACGATTAGCCATAATTACAACATTAGCTCCATGATTTTAGTCTGTCATTCATCGCAACAAACAGTGAGATAGTATTTTTCTGGGAACAATTAAACACTTCCGTTTTTTACGTGAATTTGTTTTATGTTTATCGGGTAAAAGTGGTCCGATTCAGATCACATCTGTGCCCAGACATCCTGATACAAATGAACATTCAGTATCATTAGATCATTAACATTCATCGAGCGTTTGATATTAGAGTCTAGTAAATACAACATAGAACATTTAAACTGTCTATATACGGTGTCTGAACATTTAACTCAATGTCAACAACTGCCATGGTATTAGTATGTTATTCACATACACTGACCGTAGTACATTTTCCTAGTTGGTACAATAGGTGACGTATATGATGATTTGGCCTCGACAATAAATTGTTAAGTTTCAAACCTTACCCAGGGTACAGTCTCACATAATTTGACCTCGACAATGAATTGTTAAGTGTCAAACCTTACCCAGTGTACAGTCTCACATAATTTGACCTCGACAATGAATTGTTAAGTGTCAAACCTTACCCGGGGTACAGTCTCACATAATTTGACCTCGACAATGAATTATTAAGTACCCAACCTTACTCAGGAAACGTATGGAATAATAGCATAGACAAAAAACTAAAATTAAGACAATAATAGTGAAACCATGACAACCGCCACCAGAACGTGAGTATGCTAATGAAGTCGTTTTGTGTGTATAATATGAGATGTATATGCCATAGTGTGACCCGCATTCCAATTACATTTGATATCATATTATGAAAATGCATTTAAATTAAATGTGAATACTGGCAGCATGCTGAGGTTACTAGTTACAAAGTTCACACTATTATCATGTGACTTGTGAGGTCAGCATGACGTAGTTGGTGTTGGTGTAAATAATGTAGTTCAAACAGACTATTCTGATTGTGTAGTCTTTCGTAATTGTATCTTATGAAACTCTATCAACGTCATTCGTTGTTGTATTATATGATATATAAGTTTTCGACTGTTTAGTTTTTTATTTCACTTGTGTCATCTAAAACAGTCCCGTATATACAGTAAGTTATTTTATGTAGTTTTGTGTTCAGGTTTATTTCACTGAATCGTGTTGTTTGTGTAACGCCGCCCGTAGCGATGAAAGGAGTGCTCACGAAGCGGGCAGTGCACAACGGGTCACTGCACACTACCTGACAATAATCAAACGAAATCTGTTGCAATACAACGTTTTTTTAATGATGTGTTTATTTTGGAATAAATCTACACACACAGAAAGACACTCTTCTCTGAAATAAAGATTTTCTCAGACATTATTCAAGATAGTGTCAATTACAGTGCTTTATTTTTGGCAAAACTCCATACATGTTTTCTATGCGAACAAGTTAGGTTCAATATTGGTATTATATCTCTTGCCAAGCGTTGGTTTGTTCATCCACCAGTAGGAAGCGTGAGCTGCGTTAGTTGTACCCTACTGATGAGATTTAGGCTATATTTTCAAGTATTAAAAAATAACAAACGTGAATATTTTCGAACGTTGGTAACTCACTCTCAAAATAAATGTTTGTGGTTGAGCGAAATGCATACGAACCGCATAAATTTCGCATCCATGAGTGTTAACCAATGTCCGTGTGTCAATTGATTATCTCTTGCTCGAGAACAACATTTGCGTCCTGATCTGAGAAATTCTCTGCATTCTGTAGGGGGGGGGGAGTTCCTTGTTGACGGGTTAGTGAACGTCTAATCAAAATCATCAATGCTAACTTATACTATAAATATACTATATCGTGTTACGCTAATATGGTTGGTTGATATTTTGAAAATTCTATAGCGGTATTAATATTTAGTCTTTATTTTTTGTTATCTCAGTTTGTTTTCTGATGGACGGTCATAATTAAGTTTTCAACAACAATTGTTCATATATCGTCGTATTACCGCTGTGAGACAGAAACCCACTATGACTGTGAGTTACTCGCTCAGCACGTCTCGGGCAGGTGTCCTGACGTTCCCACGACTGTTATTCAGATGGAGAGGAAGTATTTATAAATTGGTGTATGTGGAATTATTCATCTATCTCATGTTTTACTTCGCATTGTCGTTCACTTATCGATTTGCACTGAATGCCTACCAACGAACACTTTTTGAAGAGGTGAGTAAAATAATAAATTTCGATTGGCTATGCGCTTGAAGTATGGCGTAAAAGTATTTTTTACGTGTTCCCATTACCGGCGCACAATGTCTTGTCTTTGGTCCAACTTGAACAAAACCGGTCAAGACATGTCTGAGAAATGACGCCGGAAAACGAATTAATGAAATGAACCCAAAACACCGAAGTCACCATTATTTCAGACTATTTTTTAAACTAAAAGTCGGGCATGATTACGTAACTCCAAACTATGACGTAAAACAGCTTCTTTGAGTATTTCTCGTTATAACTCACAACATAGTGTTGTTCATTTTATTACAGGTGTGCGGGTTTTTCAGTGACATTTTCCTTGACGTTATTCCTCTCAGTTTCCTCATGGGATTCTACGTGGCACTTGTCGCGGCTCGCTGGTGGAATATGTACAGCGCAATTCCCTATATCGATGGTATAAGTCAAATATTTGCCACCTACATCCGGGGCAATGATGACGTCACGCGGATGCAGCGTCGGTCTCTTGTAAGGTGGATCACCTTGACGTCGACCATAGTATTTACGTCTGTGTCACCTCCCGTCTTGAAACGTTTTCCAACGTGTCTTCATCTAGTGAAGGCTGGTGAGTTTCGTTCCCGGGTGACCTCGTATCATTTGTGTTATATAAGCGCCATGAGGTATTGTTATTTAGTTTTCAAAGGTCGTCCCGCACAATACATGTACCCGTTATTGTTCCGTCTGAAGTCGGAATGATGGTTCTTTAAACGCCCTCTAGTGGTGACTAATTGTGATTCGTTTGATTCAATGAACGTCGCAGAATCGGCGAATAAACGGCGTCTTGCCGTTTCAAACAAGCACAGAAAATGTATATAAATATGAAACCAGGTTTAAAAATCACAAAAATGTAATTATCCACGTGATTGTGTTCACAATTATACAAATTTCGCGTGCCCGTGAAGTGCGCCACAAGCGTAAGAATGGAGAAATGTTTATTGCGTATTCCGAGGTCATTTTTTAATATTTTTTTGTTACAGAGGGTGATTTTGTCGATACAAAAAAACATGTAATGCGTGGATTCAAATTAATTATTTAATAAATGTTAACACTAAACATATATTTTGTTGGTGTGGTACAAAAAAATAAAACTGCACAAATTTTCAATTTACCGTGAGAACGAGCACAGCGTGTTTGTCATCAGCCATCATACACAGGTCGTCATTTTAAAATCTCGTACTATGTGGGACGATAGCAGTGTGATAATGTATCGCGTTTTTACACAGGACTGATGACTGAGAGCGAGCGAAAGACGTACGAGCACATGCCCACCCCTCATGTAAAATGGTGGCTGCCGATATCATGGTGCTGTAATTTGGTAGGCAGGCTGAAAGCAGACGGTAAGGTGGATGGTGAAATGGCTGACTTGTTGCTGAAGGTAATACGGGTTCACAGGGTTTTGAAATATTTAAATATAAATTTAATTTTTTGTGATATAACAGCATTCGAATTATTTTTGGAAAATCCATTGATGTTTCTAAAAAGTTGTTTATTTTATTATTGAACCATCTCATTAGTGCATGCCTTCATTTGGTAAAACTCTACAAATGAATGTTTGTTTGTTGGCCAAACATAGTTTGCTCACACATTTGGTCATTTTCCCCAAAAACTTATGGCAGGATTTATTTTGATGGTAATTAAAAAAAATCCAGTAGTGAGTTGGAATTTTTTTACGACAATTTAATGTATTTGTATGTACCAATGAAAGTAAAATGGTTACTATCAGCCAAGATTAGTGGTAATATATGCTTATCGCCGAAGTGCAAACACATTCAGAAACGCTGGTTTCTATGTGCAATGTCCTGAACCTGAAGACGGCGTGTGCTGTAACAATATTTGTATATATTCCTGTTTTTAAAAGTTCAAGTGAAAGTCTGAACACGGTTACAATGAGTTGGACATCGATTGACGTTTAATGTATAACTTGCATTCTTGTTTCAGGAAATTCAAGCCCATCGTCAGGCATGTGGTGCAATGATGGATTATGATTGGATAAGTATACCATTAGTCTACACTCAGGTTAGTATACTATGTCATTTTACTGCTTTTGACAATCGGGAATCTCATTGGCCGATATGTAATCACGTGGTACAATGATGGATTATAATTGGACAACTGTGCAATTTTCTTATACACTTAAAGTGTAACTGAATTGGGACAATTGACTTTTTTTGTGTGCAAAAATTATTTATAAACAACATTATGAAAAAAAATCAAGTGAAAAATGTACATAAATTAAATAAACGATCAATAATAATGTTCTGGATAAGGAAACGCCCACGTCCAATTTCTTGGCCGACTCAGAACGAGGCTTCAGCTAGAGAACCTAATTAGCATGCAAGGGTGATTTGTGACGTCACGGGGGGAACTTGTCACCGTTTCACAATGGCCGCTATACGCATGCAGTGCTCGGAAGCGACACGGAATCTATCTTATCATCGTCTGACGAGAGTTGTGAGATCGAGGAATATGATGACAACGAGAGATGTCACGATTTTGTTTTAGAGTGCCAGGGACAAAGTGGCCCATACAGGTTTGAACCTGCGAGAAAAGTATGCGATGTGGGTCATGTGGGTGTAGGGTCATTCCAGTTTTTGTCCACCCCCCCTACGGATGGTTTAAATCCGAGGGGTCATATTTTTACAAAAAAGATGGATGGTACAATTCCGAGAGGTGTCATTTTTTGACTATTTGTTTTTCTATATCCACACCCCTACAGATGATTT